GTTATTAGGACTGCCTAGAGGGATGCTTGCGTTCTGTGATTCTGAGCAGCCATCTTAGATGGTCCCAACCTTAGGTATATTTGCACAATTAGCATCCATCCCCATTCTTCCTCCATGATCTCTATGGAGGAATAGAGGAGCAGGTATTTTGGTCCAGACCTGTATGACCGAACCCTCCATATAGCCTACATTTACCAGAACATTCCCAGCCTTCCAGGTCTCGACATGCTCTGTAACTGCAGTTTTCAATATAATTTTTACCCTCAAATTAAGAATGTTCTATGTCTAATTCCTAAAATTCTGTAATTTTTGTGGTTCTTCTCAGGCAACTGTATAGGTAAACCATAAAAATCTGTTAAGCTACCATCTGTGCATTGCAGATTAAAAAATTCGCTCTGATGAGTATATCATAGAGAAAAGATGATAGGGTTAAACTCACTTCTACATGATAAAAAAACAACCAAAGAATGATTTTTTTTCCTTTAAACTTTCATACTTTAAGCATGACTGTTACTCCAAATGCACCCAGCACAGAACTGTAATACACTAGCTCAAACACGGGATGCGACATCTTACATTAACACCTTCTATCCTGCAATGAATTTGCAGTCAACTGATGCAAAGAGATACATCATTTGTTAGAAGATCATGATTTTATCTGCCATAGATTAGAACATTACATATGTGTGTCTATGATTTATTAATTATATTATGGTCGCAAATTCTATCAGGACAGTCATAAATAAATTTATTCATTCAGCACATACTTATTGAGAGTATCAGACCAGTAGCATATTCTGATGGAAGCTGGGATTTAATAGTTAACAAGTAAGATACAATTTCTACCCTTATGAAATTCCACTTCAGAATTGGAAGAAACTTTGCAATCACATAATGCAATTCAATTTTAAAAAGTCAAAACACATACTATTCCAAGATTGGCCTAAACTGCCTGATTTCAATAGGTAAAATCCAATCAGTAAAAAGAAGTTTGCTAACCCCTCCAATTTGATGATTAAGATGTGAGGAATAAAGGGCCTCCCCGGTGGCTCAGTGGTTGAGCGCTGGGTTGCGAAGCTGCCCGCAGCCTCTGCGGCGCCGGTTCGATCCCCGGCTGCTCCCCGGCCACCGGAGGAGGGTCCCACATGGCGCGCAGACCTCTCCTGCCGCCCGCTGCTCTCCTCAGCAGTGTACTTCGGTCCTTCTGCCTGCTCTGCTCCCCACTCTGGCTCTGGTGAATTCTCTCACCCTCCCGTGCTTCTGACTGTACCCAGTGCATGCATAAACAAACAAATAAATAAATAAATAAATAAAACATGCCTCTAAAAAAAAAAAAAAAATGTGAGGAATAAAGACTTCAGAATCATGTAAAATAAAAACAGGTTAACAGGAATTGAAAAAAAATTAGAAATGGGGCCTCCCTGGTGGCACAAGGGTTTAAGACGCAATGTATGAAGCTATCCGCAGCCACTGCAGCAGAGTTTGATCCCCGGCCAAGGAGCTACCCACACGGCACAGCAGACCTCTCCTGACTCACCCGCTGCTCCCCTCAGCAGTGTATTTCAGTCAAATCTGCGTGTTCCGTTCCCCACTCTTGTCTCTGGTGAATCCTCTCACCTCCCCACACCTCTGGCCTGTACACTGGTTCTTGTATGCATAAATAAATAAATCTTTTTTACAAAATTCAGAAACGAGTATCTATGACTGGAAGGCATTCAAAGCCACTTGTTTTATATGGACTTGAAGACATTACTGTAAACAGTGTGACCTAGCACCAAAAGAAATATTTTGCTAATACTCACATACATTAATCAGTTAAAAATACAGTGTACTTTAAACATAGAAAGCATATAAAAACATTAATCACGTTCAAATATTCTCTTGCATGTATATGTAAACAATACAAAGTTTTCTTTGAGGTGTCAAAGAAAATAAACACTAATATAAATGAATCCAGAGAACGAACATTAGAGAAAGTAAGCAAGTCACCATTTAACACATTTTATGGAGGTAAATTTCTGAGTCAATTTAAGACAGGGTAAAAGTCAAAATACAACTTGGAACACATTGCTGTAACTGCTGGACATGAATCAAAATAGCTCAAATTTTATTGTCACACTTTCATGGAGGCAGATAACCACTATTTTCCTTTTCTAATTTCTCCATATTAGTCATATGCAAAATTAATTATATGAATAAATGCAAGGAGCCAACTTTCATCCCTGCAAAACAAATCTATTTCCACTAAAATGATGTCATGTCTTGAAATAATTTTATGCAGAAATTTATATAGAATAGCCTTTAATATAAGAATGATTCTTTGATTTAAATGAAGTAGTTAAAAATATTGGAAAACCATTAAAATGTGAAGGGATCCATTCTGTAACCACCTTTGGATAGGTGTTATTAAAATAAATGAAGGAACTGGAAGACATCAGGAGTTCTTCAAACAGAGGAACTTCACCTGATCAAATCAACTCCTCCTCCCTTGGACTCAAAACATCATGAAATCAAACACCCATACAAAAAACACAAGTCTATATCTAGTATATGGAATTTACTATATAGTGTAGGTACTGCAGTAGTTAGGGTACAAAAGCAACATACCTAAAACATCAACTGTAGCAATTCACACATGAATAGGGATCTTATTTCTAATAGAAAGCTATATAATTTTTAAATGTTAGTAATGGATGTAGGTACTAAATTAATGACACAATTTTCTACCTCTTCTAATGAGCCATATTTGGGGTGGGAGGGCTATATTAAACACCACTCAAATATCTAACAATGGGGGGAGTTCTCCACATTATCACTACGTGAGCAGTGAAACTGTTTAAATTTTTTTCTTCATAAAATTATCTCATTTTTAAAAGCATAGTATGTTATTTAAATCCACAGTATGTAATTAAACTTCCATATATGCCTATTTCCCCAAAAGTCCGCCTCCTAGGCATTCAAACCTAGGCCCTCAGACAAACAAACCCTCTGGGCTAAATTCAGGGCTGCTAGGAACCCAAGATGTCACATTTCAGGCTTATAGGCTTGGCTTGAGAGATCTCAAACACCCTATTCATAGTTAAACAGAAACAAAGATGTAAGGTGGGGGTGGGGGGGAGTAACATTTTTTTACATCTCTCTAAAATACATGCTTTTTCCCTTAATTGTGGACTTAAACACAATATACATATTTTCTCTTGCCCCATTTTCTTCTCAATCTTGAAAATTCAGAAAGCATTGATCTACACATTTTTAGTTACTAGAAGCAGGCCAAAACGAACATAAAAATAAAATAAAATAAAAAATCATTTTTCCAATTGCCATTTTCCCTTCCCCTGACTTCATTCCCTTAAGCTTTTTATCCAGAGCTTTGCCTTCTGTTCTTTATAAACATGTGCACATTTATCTAATCTAATTTCAAAATGAAGACATAAAGCATGGCATGTGAATTAACCATTTGTAACTATCTGTGATGATTATATTTTGTTCCCTCTTGTAAATGATTCAGTACATAAGCAGTTCAGTCCCAAGGCAAATGAAGCAGGAGATGGAATGCTCAAGAAAGAAAATGCATGCTTCTCAAATCTGACAATACAGTATTTTTTTCTTACAGAAATGTTTCAGAGACACATTATACACGCAAGTGTCCAAAACACAAGTGCAGACATTTTTCAGGCCTGTTACTGCAAAGCTGTTCGCTCTTCCTACAACAATAGCTCAGAGTTATGTCAGGCTGGCTTGTGTGTGAACCCTGATGGCTATGATTGTGAACGTTCACTCAGAGATAATCATCAATAGAATTCTTATTTGAGAAATGACATTTTTCCTTCTAACTTAATGTTAAGACACAATGTCAGGTTGGCTGGGTGTTTTTGGTTTTGTTTTAGATGAAAGGGAATTTATTGCTGTTCACTTCCCGTTTTCCTTCTAGCCCAGATTCCAAAGACACTAAAACGCTGTCCGTTTTAAACAAAAGGTTTCTATTTGTTTCCAGGAGAGTAACTGAGAGGCCGCACTGGTTCGCAGTAGTAACTATTGTGAATTCAGGCCTACATTTGGGTTGCCTCATTAAACAAAAGATACCCGTCGCTGTCAACAACCACAACGCACCACGCTCGCCTTTCCCTCATCTTTAAATGGAAGGAATGGTGCAGAGGAACAACACGCCTGTCACCAACCACTGGTCAAGAAACTCTTCTGGGGTCTCTCTTTTCGGTAGTCTGGTGGCTAGAGAACTGCACTTAGGTGGCACATTTGGGCTTGCCCCCGACTCCCATCCCCCCAACCCCCCACCAATGGAGCCCCTTTCTTCGGAAGGCCAACCTCTATTCCCTCCTCGGAGAACCCGGTCGTGAATGTGCCCACCTTTCCACCGTTCTTGACCCCAGAATGCACTGATGATGGATGCACACAGGCCACCCCACCGCCCGCCATCCCCCCATGTGTCCAGGTTCCTCTCTCCACCTCCAGGCTACACACACAGCTCGCCACTCCACCACCCCGCGGGGCGCCGCGGCCACGCCGCTGGAAGTTCCACCCCTTTGCCCACCCCCCCAGCCCCGCGCCGGTCCCCCAAAGTAGTCTAACATTTAACACAGGCACCGCACACAACCGCGCACCCCGAAGGCACAGCCCCCAGGGACACCCAAAGACGCGCGCCGAGGTCCGGAGCCGGGTAGCCCCGACCCCTGCGCGCGAGCGCGCGCGCGCGCAAATCTGGGTGTCCGCGCTCGCGGGTGCGGGTAGTGGCCGGGGGCGCGCCCGGGAGGGTCGGAGCGAGCCGCGGGCCCCCGCGGGCGGGGGGCGCAGCGGACAGCGGTCCGGGGGTGGCCGTTGGGGTGGCGGCCGCGGAGGCCACGCAGGCGGGCCGTGGGCCGGACTCACCGAGCAGCAGCAGCTTGAGCTCCCGGCGGGCGTCCCGCTTGTCCCGGCGGAGCTGCCGCTCGATCTCGTCGTTGATCCGCCGGGCTTCCTTGGCCTCCTCGCTCAGGCAGCACGCCATGATGGACTCCAGAGTCATTCTTCCAAAGTGCCTCCGCTACCGCCCCGCGGGCACCCCCGGCTCACACGCGCGCACACACACCCTCCCGCCCTCGCTCCCACGGGGCAGCGCCGGCCGCGGAGTCTCCGCCGCCGGGTCGCGCGTCTGCGACGAGCGCCGGGGCCGCTGCGGGGGCCGCGGCCAGGGCCGGGGCCACCAGGGGGGCCCGCGGGAGCGGTGGCTGGGGCCGCCGGGAAGAGCGAGGCGGGCGCGGGCGGCGGGCGCGGGCGCGGGCTCGGGGGGCGCGCGAGAGAAGGCCGCCGCGCCCGGCCTCGCTCAGACGCCCGCGCCTCCTTCCCCGAGAGCGGGAGGCCCGCCTCGCCCCCCGCGCCGCCGCCGCCGAGGCTCCCCTCAGCCGGGCGCCCGGCGGCGAGCGCGCATCCACCGGGGCGTCTCCGCCGCGAGCGGCCGCCGACGGCTTCTCCGCGCCTGGCGCGTCCGCTCTCCGCCGCCGCCTGCCCCGGCTCCCGGGCGCGCTCGGCCCTGCCCGCGCCCCCCGCCCGCCCGCCCGCCGGGCCGCCGCGCGCTCCTCCGCCTCCGCGCCGCCTCCGCAGACGCCCACCCCCGTCCCGGATTGCCGGGCGCGCAGCGGCTGCTCAGGGCTCGCCCTCCCCCTCGCCACACACACACATTTTCTTCTTTCTCTGAACTGGAGCACAGATCCGGGAGGAGGCGGAGGGGGAGGAGGAGGAGGGGACGGGCGCGGGAGGAGGGGAGCGGGGGGCGGGGCCGCCCGGCCTCTCCCGGCCGGCTCTCCGCGGCTCCCCGCCGCCGCCGCCGCCGCGCCTCCCCGCCTCCCCGAGCGCCCGTCGCCTCGCCCGCCCCGCGCCCGGCGGGGTCGGCCCCTGAGCCCGGCCGGAGCCGCCCCCTCCCGCGCCCGTGGCGGGGCCCGCGGCCGGCGCGGTCACTGCGGCCCCGCGGCTCGCGCCGCCGCCAGCCCGCCGCGGCCGGCCGCCGGTCGGGCTAGGAAACGCAGGAATATGGCGGCCGCCGCCGGCCTGTCAGCCCACCGGGCCGGGCCGGCGGCCGGGACCCTCCGGGAAGGCGCGGGCTGCAGCCCCAACGGCCCGCCGCACCGGCCGGCGCCGCCCACACCCGGCCCGGCGCGCGCCCGCGCCCCCACCGGCCTGCGGTGCCGGCCGCTCCCGGCCGCTCGGGCTGGCTTGCCCGTGCCTATTTCCAAAACGCCATTCTGCCAGAAAGTGTCTCGCGTCAGCCCTGACCCCGGCTCGGGCGCGGAAAATCAGATACTCTCCATCGTGGCCTCCACGCGGCACGCTCTGTGGGGGGCTGTGGCCGGGGAGAAGAAATTGCCCCCGACTCCCGGAGGGAAGTGGGGGACCGAGAGGCTGAACTGTCCACCAAGTTGCTGGAGCCAGAAATCTAAATCCCGAGCGGAAAAATGAAGCTGCCCGAGTTTCCAAGAGCTTCCTGATGGCTCCCAACTTGTCATTCCATTGAGCTTGTTTTGTTGTTTTTTTTTTTTACCAACTGTCCTGTTGAAAAGGCACATGATGTTTAACAGCCAAGTCATCGAATTTATCCTTCCAGACCGAGAATGAATTTATGGACGACTTCTGGGAAAATCGAAAATATTGTGGAACCGGGGGGGGGGGGGGGGGAGGGGGAATAACAGGAAAAAATAAAATAGAAAAATGGAAATGCCAAGATCGCTCCAGCAAAACTCCATTCGGTTGTTTTCTCTACTTTGACTGAGGCAGTTGATTTTAAAATGGTGTTGCTTATTTTGTTGAGATATACTGATATGTAGCCCAAACTGCTTGTTCAGATTTTATTTGGTCTAATAAGGGGGCAAAACTCATATCCCTTCCCACCTTAATGAAAACTGAGGTCTTGAGACTAACTTGTATGAAGGAAATCCCTTTTTCACATTTTATGTTTTCTCTGAGAAGTCTGGTATAACCTGTTGGATCGAAGTATAATTTAAGGTCATGAGTACAGGTCAAAAATACACACCAGTTTCATGGATGACAAGTGTACGACTACCTTCTTTCATTTTCCATTACCTCCACCTCCAGTCTCTCTCTTCCCCCCCACCCCCCCCCCCCCCCACCGCCCCCCACACACGAGGTTAGAGCAAACAAATTTTGGAAACATAAGATGTATAGTTTGTCTCCCTTCTTAAAAGGATATTTGGCCTAGAAAATTACTACATTTCTCCTTGGCCTGCAGAAATGACAAACCTCCCTACCTCCCTACCCCCCCCCCATTATATGAATTCTGCAAAAAGCCACTAGATTTGCTGTGAAATTAAAAATTTAAATGACTAATGAAATTAAAATGTGAAATTCAATATATACAGACAATTATAATGGCTTCAGGAAAAAAATTTTAATTAAAATTTGATATCTTCATATATACCCATATATAATACATGTGTGTGTGTTTTTCAGAGAGATACAAAACACCAGAAAATCAAATGAAAGTCAGAAACTTCAAGTGTCTGTTTCCGAACCCAGGATCTCTGAGAGTTTTAAAAATATGTCTCAAACTGTGCCATCAAGTTATCAGTTGATCAATCCATGTTGACGGAATTGAACTATTTTTTGATCAAAGGAATTAAATTACAGTGCATTGTAGATAAAATCAAAGTCTGTTTTTCACCCCTATATCCCTAGTATCAGGCACATTACTTGGCACTTACTAAGTATGTGAGTGAATAAAACAAACTAGTAGAATAATGTTCCTTCAAATATTGGGAAGAAACAGGAAGTAAGAAAAAACAACATTCTACAGTGATAAAGCTATGTGTGGATTCCTAGAAGGAAACAGGAAGAGAAAATTCCAAGTGTGAGCCCAGATCTATCTTGAAAATTTTGCATATATATCTGGAGAGCATTTGCCAAGCAAATATTCATAAAACGTAAGTCAAGTAAGTAAAATCCATGTCGAAACTACTGACTTTGTTCACCATGTTTTAGCAGCAAATACTCTAAATTAAGCTACTGAACATGAAATATGTTATTGATACAAAGCCTCCATAATTAAATTAGCAAATATTTATTCATTGCCTAGTGTGTGTAAATAAGGTAAAAGTGCGGAAGAAACAGTCAGATGAATAAAATACAGTCCTTGCCCTCAGTAGACTATAGTTTTATGGAATTACAAGATCCCCTATGGTCACAATAAAAGACAAAATGCAATCAATTTGTTTGTTGTGATAGAAGAAACAAGATAAAAGTATAAAAAAGGAAGGTGTAATGCATTTTATTCAAGGGAACTAGAACCTTCCTAGAAAAGGAAATATTTGGATATATCCAAAGAGTAAGTTTTCAAGAAATACATTATGCCACTTAAAAGTACATCAGCAATTCCAAACCACCTCCCAAACAATGAAAAATCATTTTGCAAATTTAAGGGCAACTACTAGATAGCTAAAATGCAAACCACAAAACTGTAGGGTCATTGAACCCCAGAGGAAAATGGGAACAGACACCTCTTCGTGGTATCTTGAGACCTACCCTCATGATTTCTCCCTGTCCTTTGGTTATTGGAAAATAAAACAGATTAGTCTCCAGAAGTAAAGATCGAAAAGGAAAAAGGCTGCAGCCTTGTAAAAGGAACGCTGGGGAAGTAGCCCACAGCCTTCCACTTCCCAGAGTCATTTAGCATGGCTGCTTCCCAGCATGCACGGCACCATGCACCAGGGGTCTGTTGCTCTTTCTCTTCTCTGCCTGTCACGAGTGATCAGGAGTTGCATGAGAGCAGTGACCTATCTTTCATAACTTTTTAGGGCACCAAAAGAGTATCTATCCCAGCAAGTGATGAATAAACAAAAGAATGCCACCACCACATTACATCAACAATAAACTCGCCAATTGCCATCCAAGGCAGGGCACAATGCCATTGCCTGGGCCGTACTAAGCCTTTTAAAGGTTTAATATTGTATTTGGGAAGACAATCCACGTAAAAGAATAAACACAACACGAAATGAGCAGCACTCTCTGCTGACCTATAGTATAGAGAATGGACAACTTACAGGAGTTCAGAAGGAACAGTTTTCCAAGTTGCCAATCAAAAAAACCCAAAAGAAAATGGAGCAGGGGCACAATGGTCACTGGAAAGACCAATTAGATGTCAGTCTGAAGCATTGCATATCCTAAGAGAGCTAGAAAGGGCTGCTCTGTGGAAAGAGCTTGTTGACAAGGCTGTCTGACCTAGGGAAAAAGGGACTTCGCTGGTGAGAAAGGGAAGCAGGCCCCAGGAGATTCAGAGCGCTGTCAATGGCGCCACCTAGAGGACAGTTCTCAAAACAGTGAAAGCTCATGATTCCTTCTTGAGTATCAGGGTCAACATACTGAAAATGGAAAACCTGGAGTGAACCAGAATATATTCTTCTGAAACAGAAAATACCCATGCAAAGCCACCAAATATATTTTAGATGAAATATATTTTAGATGAGTACCTCAGTGACATCGTCCCTTTACCACCCTCAGAAATAAATCCAAGTGATCCTCTAATGACTCTACATATATCTATTTTGTGCTTCTCTGAGGTTAGCATTATTGTTACAGGGCGCCTAGAACCTGGTCTTTGTTTGTTACCACCCTTTTGTTGAAAACATAATAAACAGAGAGGTGCTTTCCCTCGTGGGAGGTGGGAAACCCAGCAAGCAAAAACCCTGCTTCCCTGCCCTGGTGATCAACCTCATAAAACCAAGAGCCTCTCCACTCTCAGAAGTGTGGCTGAGGGCAGGCCTCTCCCCTATTTTGTGAGCCACAGTAAACCTCACTAGCTTGAAACCAGTTACTGGGTCTTCTAAAGTTTGTGTTGCATTAATTGGTAGAAGCCAGATAAAGACCTTTCAGAATCAGTTTAATTTGGCAACCACAGATTAGATTGGGTTTCCCTCTCTATGAGACCCCCTTGTATGCTGGGTGGCACACTTGGATGGGTTGCTGGCCTACCTGGAAGCTTCCTACCTCACAGTGTGAAGGCTAGCAAAGTCCCACTAGACTGAATAGACCAGTTTTTCAGCCAGAGAACCCAATTACTAATGTTTGATGAATGAATGTCTGAGTGAATAAATGAATGACTACCTAGTAAAACAAGATAATGAGATGTCAGGTCACCCAAATCATGATCCAAATCATCTGGCTCCCAAGGGTTCAAGGATGTGTTAGCTAATACAGGATTTTCTTTTGTCTTGGAGTTACTACAGTTGGTGCTATCTGAAACTCAAGATGCTCTGGTTTTGCTGGATTCCTACCTGATACAAAGGCTATAAATTAAAATCTCTGACTCAATGATGCTATGAAAAATCTGAATTAGTCTGGAATATAAACATCAAAAGACACACACAAACCTCCTGGTCAAGACCTGATAATCCCAGGCTGTATTTTCACATGACAAATATTTGACTAATTATCCCCCATTACTCCATAATCTGGACCAGATTTATACTCCCCATTTAGTGACATACCATACCTGTGGGCATTTCAGCAGGTCCTATAAAGCACTTAGAGAATGGAATTGAATTAAACCAGGTAGTTGTTTCAGGCAACTGATTTCTTTCTCATTCTTTATTTCCATGTTTCTAAATGAAATAATCACTTTTGCTATTACACTCACCTCCCTTTGATAATTCCTCACATAATAAGGGCAGTCTTTTGTTCACTTGAATCCAGCACCTAGGACAGTACTTGATATAGTAGATGCTTAAATATTTGTTGAATGAATGAAAATTAGGTCCTCCAATAAAAAGGCCACATATTGACCACATGGAAGTCAGTCTGACTCCTTTTTTTTTCCTCCATTGCCAGATGGTACCCACCACAGCTTGCTTCCTCTGCAAAATGTTCCTTGGCTCTGTTCTTCAAAATCTTGCCTCAAATAAGTTCACCAAGGAAAATTAGCAATCACTAACATATCAAGAAAACTAAGGAAGCAACATGTCCCAACTTGACACTTGTTCAAAATCCAGATGGAAATATGTATTAATTCAAA